TAACTCATAACCAGCAATATATTAAATCTTCCAGGCTCATTTTATAGGGATGAAATTATATGGTACTTCATGTTATAAGCTGCTATTTCAGTTCCCTAAAATCATAATATTTTTGAAAGTGTTCTTGGGGGTACAGAGTGGGCCTGGAGAGCTGGAAAACCCACCTGACGGAGGGGACGCTCTCTCCACGTCAAAGCGCAGGGCAGCCTTCCCACGGATTGCACTCTGTGAGGGGAACAGGATTCACCCACTGCAAAAGTGAGGCTCGGGAATCAGAGCGAGGGCCATCTTGCTACAGAAACGTGAAGAATGGTACACCACCAAGGCAACTGGAGAGGCTATCAAGGAAGCGTGGAAAGGGTCCCAGGTCCATGAATCTTGCAGCCTTTGAAATATTTTATTTTTAAAACCTGAAACACATATACTGTGTAAATTGAGCGAGTTTTTAGATTTCTCTAATGTCATTTTAGAATAATTTATTTGGCACATCAGCCTAGATGTATCTCTTTCCTTGGGCTATGAATCTGACTTGATAATCTCGTAGTGAAGGGATTTTAGGGATAAATGGAGTTAAGGCTGTGGAGGATGAACTAAGGTCATCTCGGAGCACCCGGCTGAACAGAGTCAACTTGGTCCTGGTGCGGAGGACCCAGCCGAGGACTGTTGCCAATAGCAGAAAAGGAGAACTGGAGGAGAAGGTGGTGCTGCTGATTTTCCTGGAGAAACTTCCATGGGTGCTTTTCCTGCTGTGAACTCCTGATGATGAACTTGGAGGAACAGCCGCTGTTCTCCTCAGGGCAGCCCTGATCTTCGCTGTGAGCATCACTTCCTGGCTCCAGTGTGGATCCCTCAGACCCTGCACCGGAAGTCATTCTTACAACCCAAGAAAAGAAGAGAGAAGTTAAATGGGAGGAACTCAGCAGCCTGATTTCTCCAGAGATTCTTGTCTCTCATAACAGCAAAAGCCAGCCCAGGCCCAGACATCCTTACATGGGATGTAGAGCTCCAGGGAAAATTCAGATCTGAAGTCTGACACTTCCGTCTGACTTAGACCAAGGCCTTGATTACAAAGAAGTGAAATTTATAATCAAAACAGCTAGAATAATATATTAGATAAACTCGAAAGTGAATCTCCTCTGAAACCTCTGAGCCTGGAGAAATGGCCTCCTCCACCCTGTCATTGATGATTCTTCCTCACTGGCTTGGGGGCCAGGCCTTGAGATTTATTTTGTGGGCACCAGGACAGACCTCTGCTTTCTCTCCTGGATATCAGATAGACAGGGTCAAATCGTGCCTACTATGGGGGAAGAAGGACCATGGGCTGAAGAAGTTGCAGGCCCAAGCTGCAGGAGTGGACCTAGAACCAAGTCCTGGGGGTATTGAGCCTGAAGGATCTGGAGCTCAGTGCAGTGGTGACAATGAACACACTGACACAAGCTGCAAGAAATCATCTTACTCTGTTTCTCAGAACTTGGACACATGAAAGGGCCTTGTGAATGAAGCAAGAATTGGAGGAAGTTCATGGCAGTTGGTCAGGAAGGGAGGGGTTCACAGAAATGTCACTGTAAATATACTGCAGAAAAGCAGAAGGCCAACCTCCTGTTCTGTTCCACAAGAGGGCACCCAAGCCCTGACACTTGGGACAGCAATAAAGAATCTTCTGAAGAGGCCATCACCATTGAGAATCTCAGGGGTAGCTGCTTTCTATAAGCCAGGATGAATAGGACTCGTTCCTGAAAGGTGGCACACCATTGCCCATAGGGATACTGAACAGAGAAGCCCTGCACTTAAAGAGTCAGAAACGCAACACCATGACGAGCGACATGCTCCGAGTGGCAGGGGAAAAGGCCTGAGCCAGAGTCATGGAAATTGTTACTGGGACACGTTGCTCCATGTGGAAGACTGGTGGCTGGCCAGCTAGAGTATTTCATAATTTATACAACCAAGCAAATTAAGAGATTCGTGACCTTGAGACTTAGGGCAGGCACTCCAATAAACAGTGGTGATCTCATACCCAGTGCCCAGAGCTGAGATGATATGCAGGCCCGGAACTCATTAACTCATCACGAAAAGGAAAAAGCACTTCAGCCAAGGTTCCCAGAGGAGACATCTACCCGAGGGCCCCGGAGGCTGCTTTCTTCTGTAAGTGGTCAGAGTAGGAAGGGAGGACCAGCCCTTTTTATAACTGCTAGCCTCAGGCTTCCACCTGAAGTTGCTCCTTGGGGTTTGAGGCATGAAGGTGGCCTCAGAATTAGGGTTTATGGAGGCTGCATAAAAGAAATGTGGTCCTAGTCCAAATCCAGCTTCCTTTTGGCCCACTCAGCACATGCTCCATCCAATGACCACAAACAGAATAGACATCGCTGTTGGCAGAAAACACAAGTGATTTTCTCAGCTGGTGACCAAGGTCCAATGTAAGTCTTTGGAACTGACTCTCCCATGGGAAAGACTGTAAATCAAATGCAATACCACAATACCAGATGAGGCATGAGAGAGGTTACTGGTACCTTTAAAGATGTATCCTTAAGTGCTGCTGCGGACCCCACCCAGGCCATTTAAATCATAGCTCCTTCCTCCACAAAACTCAGTTGACTCCCGGATGATGAGGAAAAGCTCAATAAGAAGTAGCCCCAATTTCCACTGCTGAGGTGAAGTAAGTCAGGTAGAGCAGACGGGCTCTGCCTTAGATAAGCAGTGTATTTAATTGGGGAGTATGTTACTTGTCACCATATGAGAAATGGGCTTTCAGTCAAGGAATAGACAATGATATGCACTTACATTCTTGTTAGGCGGAGGTAAATTGTTCCTCCCTCTGTGACAATATTGCCCACAGGATCTATGCCTGTGGTTATAATAATGTGTTATGAAAATTATATTTATACCATCACATCCCAGATAGGAGCTACCAGGGACAGGAAACCCGGGGCCTGGACAACACAAGTGCGACAGAGGGAGAGAGATGGGGTCCTGGAGGGATCAGGAGCTGCTCACCTCAGGACTGTTCTAAGTCCCTCCAGTGTGGAGCACGCTGTGACATCTCCTCTAACGTAGATGAAAGCAGTTCCACTTCTTACTTCACATCCACTAACACAGCCCGTGCCTGGACACAGTGGTCGACCTGTTCCCGGAGGGACAGGAAAAGCTCAGACCTGAACCGACGCCTGGGAGTAAGAGGGGCTCTCAGCAGGTCCAGGTGGAGGGGAGCAGCACTGCCCGGCCACAGGACCCCGCCGGACCCTCGGCGGAGGACGCAGTGGTGACAAAGACGTGGGGAGAGGCTATGGGAAACCGCAGCACGGGAGGGCAGTGCAAACCCACGGCACTGATGGAGAACAGCGCCCTCAGCTCTGCAGCCCTGTTCCATTCAGAAAGAAGCGCACACAGCGGCTTCCCTGGCGTTAGCAGTAAAAACCTGAACACTGAATGGCATATTCATCGGCAGTGTGTCCACAGCTACCCCTCTCGAGCTGCCTTCTCTCAGAAGCCCATGCCCGAATGAGGGACTCGGGTTGGGTGCAAAGCAGGGGACATGGGGGCGCACAGCGAGCAGGGCCAGGGGGAGCTGCACTGCCCTGCGCGGTCACGATCCAGACCTGGCCTGAGCTGACTTCACTCGGGGCTGCAGGGCGCCCCGCAGCTGAGGAGGAGGAAGGTCAGGCCTGGCTGGGCCCGGGCACAGCAGGGCGCTTCTTCTGCTGCGCTGGTCAGAAAGCCCCTGCCTTTGCGTGGCTGTTCCCTTCCTCACTCTCCGGCCCAGCTGCTGGACTCCTGCCCCAGCTTTGTTCTCTCACGCCTGGGGGCAGCCTCAGCAGGCGAACTGCCCAGGCGCTCCCTGACAAGGTGTCGCTGCAGTGAGTCTAGGCATGTGCCCAGCTGCTCTTCTTTTCCTGCGCTGCTATCCATCCAATAGCACGAACTGCGCCAAAGAGCGCGAGAACCTCAGATGCATGTTACGATACGAGCGTGAGGTGTGCACACCGGACAGTCTCAGAACGTGGGCTTCGCACGGCACAGGTCTGGAATTACTCAGCGCTCAGCGATCTGATCTTGTCTTTTAACAAAGAAGACAAAGTTTAGTTTGAGTAGCCTAAAAAGTTCATCTGTTTTCATGATGTTTTTATTTTCTAAATTATTTTAGAAGAATGATTGCTATTTTAAATACCTTTGTTCAATATCAGTTTTTAAAAGAGATGGGGCACGTGCAGGGTTGTTTGGCTATAGATAAATAGCCCAATGGCCCATCAAGTGGAGACTGGATAAAGAAGATGCGATTTTTATATAAAGTGGAGCACTATTCAGCCTTAAAGAATGAGAAACTAGAAGCTTTTGTAGCTAAGTGGATGCACATTGAGGCCATACTTTCAAGTGAAATAAATAGGACACAGTTGAGTACCGAATAGTATCTCTGATGTGAAAAACTAAAAGTGTAAATAAGGTTCAAATGGTATAGCTGAGTGTGAAATAGGAAGAAAATGGCTAAAGGGGACATGGTAATGGGAGGGGAAAGGAAACAAGGGAAGAGAAAAAAATGTGAAAAAAGGAACAAAATTGAAACAAAGTCTTTGTAAAGAGGGACGGGTGGAGGGGGTGAAGAGAGGGCAGGGATATGGGGAAAAAAATAAGAACCAAGATGTGTCATGTAAACGTACAAGATCCCAATCATACATGTAACTATTGTTTTAAATACACCAATAAACTTAATGGGAAAAGTCAGTTATTCACATACAATCACAGTCTGAACACAATTAGACTCCTCAGTTTATACTTTATTGGTGATCGGCATAACAGTGTACATTTTTAACTGAAAAAAAATCTAATTCTACAGCACATAAAGCTTGCCATAGTGCAGCAGTAAAATTCAAACTTTTCAGTTGTGTGAGTCACATACAATCACAGTCTGAACACAATTAGACTCCTCAGTTTATACTTTATTGGTGATCGGCATAACAGTGTACATTTTTAACTGAAAAAAATCTAATTCTACAGCACATAAAGCTTGCCATAGTGCAGCAGTAAAATTCACACTTTTCAGTTGTGTGAGAGGTTACACAAAAATATCCAGCTACGTTGTGAAAGCTGCTACTGTTCTAATGTTAGAGGCTGTGTTTTAAGAGACCTTTTCAAGTAACGCGAGTGACAGAAGAGACGGTGAACTTCAAACTGGTCAAATCAGATGCCTTCTCTCCAGATCACTTCCTTTTCTTAATTGTCCAACATCTTGGCATCCTCTGTCTTACTGCTGAACAGGTATCACATCACTGTCACTGGTGAAAAGGAAAATATGCCTTATTAAAATAGTCATAGAACCTTGTCTGTTAAAATTTGAAAAAAATAAAATCGACCGCCAAAGGTAGTAGAAATGGAAATAATTTATAATGTTAATATTTTGTGATATAACTTTATAGCGAATCATTGATTCAACATCTATATAGATGTTTCAGAAATAGAATTGATCACATTAGAAAGACTCACTGATAATTAACTATACCTCAAGTGATGTATAATGCATGAATAAAGGATGAAGGATATTTGAACTGTTTTTTCCCTTAAACACATTATAATTAAGTCCACTGACTCTTGTCTATCCTTCCATTCTAAAATGAATTTCTCTGGCTCTCCTAGTAAACTTTCCATGTTACCCCATGTTCTTGAATGTTAACTTATCTTTTCAGGTACTCTTTTCCCAACTGGAGATGGCTCCATCTCCCAAGACCTGAAGAAATTCTCATGGAAAGAGTAGAAAAGGGGAGAATCCCCGGATGCTGCAGAGTGTGTCCTTGGAGAGAGCAGCCTGCAAGGCAGGAGCCACAGGCTGGGCTATGCATCGCCCTCCACCTTGCAGCTACAAACCTTGGCCAAGTTCCCTGGTTGCCTCTGCCTCACATGCAAAATGGGACTGGTAAACATAGCGCTTGGCTCCTAGGATGGTGGAAAAATCAAACACGTTTATAGATGTGTACTTGGTACATAAAAATCACCCAAGAAAATGCCAAGCTTTTTCAGTTGCAAAAGAAGGAACGCTTCCCTTCTTGTCTGCAATGCCACATCCAGCTCCTGGCCTGCAAGACTCAGGAGGTTTGCCTAACAGAGACTGTCTTGTTTTTGCTTGTTTTTTGGTTCTGAAGGTGGAACTCAGGGCCTTTATGTTTTCCAGTTTGAGACAGGGTCTCCCTGAGTTGCCGCGGCTGGCTTCGAACTCGCCAAGCAGCAGCCTCAGCCTCACAAAGTGCTAGGGTGACAGGTCGGGGCCACAGTGCCCAGCTGGCAGTGACACTTGACAATGAAAGTAAGAGAGGAGCACAGTGTTAGGCTGTGGAGGCTGAGTGGGAGAGCGAACACGTCGCACTTAACACTTCATGCGGAAGACGCCTCCCAGAGTTGGCGGCTCCCACGTGCTTACCATGAGCCCTGCACTGGCTTGGGCAGCCCAGTTCTGCATTTCCCAGTGGGAATCACTCTCACTAGTTTCCTTTGAAATGACCGTTAAGTGATACTTTTTTTTCATTAATTTTATTGGTACATTTTAGGTACACAACATGATGACATTTATCACTGGGAATTTGCACCTTTACGAGATGTATCTTGGTTCTTTTTTTTTTTCCCCCATTCCTCTTCCTCCCTTCCACCCCTCCACCTTTCCCTATTTACAAAGACTTTGTTTGTTTCCTTTTTTCATATTTTTTCCCTTTTCTTTCTTTCCCCTACCCTTCCCTTTCCCCTTTGAACCTTTTCTTCCTGTTTCACACGAACTATTACTCATTTTAATCCTCGTTTACACTTCAAGTTCTCACACCAGAGAAACCATTCAGTATTTACACCTGTGTGTCCTATTTATTTCGCTTCAGAGTGTGGCCTCAACAGAATGCCTCATCTAGTTAATATGCTTTTACTTATTGTACATCTTTTTGACATAAAAGTCACAGCTAATCACAAAGACATGAAATGATGGAGGACAGCAGTAAATGAGCACAGAGAGGGGCGAGTTGTTTCCTCAAAGAAGGCAGTGCACAGAGTTGGGCCCTCATTAGGTAAGAACAGTGACTCTTCTTTAGACTCCACAAAATACTAGGTAAAAACTTTGTTGGGTACACACACCCGGCATGCACACACATGCACACACACACACACACACACACAGCCACTGATCCTTAATGTGATGGCATTATTCCAGGTTGGAATATATGGAAAATAAAATGATTGGGATGGTGGAGAGCTCTGAGAGTGAACCCGTGGGGGACAGAGAAGGAGCTGGTGTTGTGGTGCGGTGACTCCGCGCTGCAGGGGTGACTAGAGAGTAACTGGGAAACTGGAGAAAGTGTGCGAGCTTTTGGTCCATAAGGGATATCCACTTCGTAAAGCTCTGTTGTGAATATGAAGCACGACACAACACACCTCAGTAACAGCCACGGGCAGGAAGCCTGAGGATGAATAACTTCACTTTGATGGTGGGACCGCCCCCCTTCCTGTGGCCCAGAGCAGATGACCTGGACCCTAGAGGGGTGGCACAGAGTGCGTGGGGTGACCCCTGTGTATTTCCTCATTTAAAAAATCTGTCTTTTGTCTAAATGTTTGGTGCATAGGATAAATTAGTATATACTTCGCAGACAGACACCAAATGTCACAAAAGCACCAAGCTGTGCTGGGAATGGGGCTGAAAACGTATTTTCTGGCAGAGCCATGCAGTGGGAAAAGCTTGAAGAGTGACAGCACAGGAAGGAAGTGCCACCCCACGCTGCTCTCTGTCCCCGATGTGAGGGGTTTCTGTGTTGCCCTGCTGTGCATGGGCTGTGGCTCCTTAGTTTGTGGAAGAACAGGAAGATGCTTGTCACTGGAGACCGCCCCCACACACACGCATAGTGGGGTGACCCATGGCTTTCTTCTTCATTTTGAGTCTTTGCTGTTATTTTATGCTCAGTGTCCTAACATTTTACTTGGGCACTGCAGAGAAAACCATGTTATGTTCTTAAATGCAGTTTATGGTTAGCTTTTTGTGCTGTGATTATGCTTTGTGGTGTATTAGTCATGTATTATATTCCTCTAGAAAGGGCTGTGATTCAGACTGGCATTTTCCAACTACTCTCACCTTTCACAGTAACCTAAAATACTTGCTAAAACAGCCATTTCCAAGGCCTGCCTTTCGAAGCGGTAGGGTAACACCCATGGGTATACAAATTGCAAAGCACTTTAGAGAATTCTTATGATTAAGGAAATGGAAAACATCCATCCCAAGATTCTCTGGGGCCTTTTAGTGCACTTTTGACAGAAACATTGTCATCCTGACAGCTTTTCCCTCACACACACGATGCTGGTCTAGATTTGATTGGTAACGTGTGAAATGAACATGAAACTTTAATTAGGCATGTTAGATTGGTAGTATACCATAATTACTAGGTGGCATTATGGTTTGTATTCCTTTATTTTGGCTTTATTTATAGTCATTCCAAACCCAGGCGATGTAACGTTCCTCTCCACCCACCGTGGACTTTTGGATGCTGGACCTCTACAGCAGTCCCATGAAAAACCCACAGCCCCTCTTCCTGAAGGCTCAGTCCTCTCCTGCTGACCTGTGGGTCTGGCCGGTTTCACTTCTCCCTTCTCTGCTCAGAGCTGCCCTCACTGTTCCTTCCCAGGGGTCCACCTAAACCAGTCGTGACCTATCCCCAGCACTTGAGAAGGACACTACAAGGTTAGTCCTTCTGCACATTGCATTCGAGCATTCCTGGATTCTTGCTGCAGTCACCAGAGGGATGGCAGGCTTTGCTTTCAGTGCATCTGAACCCTAGTCAATGAGAACTTTGGTGAGTCAGAAATAAGTGTCAACACCTCTTGACCAGAATGACTCACACACACGTAATCCCAGCACTCGAGGATGTCGAGGCAGGAGATTTCAAGTTAAGTCCAAGCATTGGCAATGAAGGGACTTAGTGAGACCTTGTCTCCAAGTAAAACAATCGATAAAGGACTGGGGATGCAGCTCAGTTCGAAGACCCTCAGATCAGGCCCCGATCTACAGGTGAGCGGACTGAGCTCAGACAGGCAGACTGCTTACCCAAGACTACATGAAAATGAAATGATTAAGCAAAGATGCCACCTTATGTCCTATTTCCAAACCCCAGTGCTGCCCTCCATACCTTTAACATCCAGACAGCGTCTTGTCTGTACTTTACTCCATCTGCTGTTCCAGTAAAAATTCCTGTGTAGCTATGCATACACACACACACACACACACACACACGAGAGAGAGACAGAGACAGAGAGAGAGAGAGAGAGAGAGAGAGAGAGAGATACACAGCTACCCTGTTCTAGAGCAAAAATATTTTATAATTGTCAGTTGATGCCATTTATGCTGTTCTGCTACTCCCATCTCTCTCTTGTGGCTAGAACATCTCTGGAAAGACCAGCTTATAAGTGATCACACATTTCATTAAGTCATTAATCCCATGTGCCCTGATATTTACTTCCTAAAGGTCACCGGCAACCTCTCCAACAGCAAATCCTGTCTGAAAGAAACATGACTTAAGTGCCTAAGGTTTTTCTGGCACTGGGGATAAGTGCTTAATTAATATCTCACATTATCTTCCAAGAACTTCATAATAAAAAAGACAAAGCAAGAGGCCAAGGATATTATCTATGCTGATAAGGTTTCTGGGCACAGCAGTCTGTGTCCATTGCAGGAAGTTTGTCCAGGGGCAGAGCTGGCTGAGCCCTCTTACTTTGTCAATAGTTGATGACGGGAAATGGGCATCAGAAAGGACATAAAACAAAACTGTAGTACCATCAAAATATATGCAATAAGGTCTTGTGCAGAAGGAAGGCATTGCACACCGTGACAGAGGGAGGAAGTAAGTCTTTACTAAAATTGCGCTCTATTCTCAGAATATATTTGGTGTTGGATATGACGAAGGGTAGTGTAGGATTGAAATGCTCCTCCGGTATGGACCGTACATAGTCTGGGCCACTGTAGCATGGCTGAGGAGGCTGGTGTAGGATTTGTTGAAGAAATGGGTAGGAAACAGTGAGGGCACTTAGGGGACTTGCCGCAGCCTGTGAAAGTGATTAATGAAGGCTCCTCCGGTGGTAATGGACATGAATGGGAGACAAGAGAATGGACTGTGTACTGCTCCGAGGGCAGGGTTTGTGAATCTTCAGAATGTGGATTTCAAGAAAAAGTAGCTCAAGAATTCATGAATCATTGTGATCAAGAATAATTAGACAATCTAAACAATCATTTTTTAATAGTAGAACAACTTTCATTGCTCCAGAACTGCTAAGCAGAAATAAGCATTTATAATTTGTTTGATTAAGCATCCTTCTCACAATCAAAACTTGACAGAAAGCTAAGTACAGTGCTTCTCAGTACTGTGAAATCTTTTCCATTTTTAAAAATACTTTATAGACATCTGAATATTGATATAGTATTCCACTTCTTGCCAGGATCCATTCCACAGCCATCATGAGCTACTGATGGCTGGAAGAAATAAATCTGCAATTATTTTATTCCAAATTTGTATGTGTAGGTGCTGAGATTATCAATGACCTTATAAATCCTAAAAGGATTACTTTGCAGTTCACAGGCCCACTGGATTAGTTATCTGAACTTTAAGAAATCTGACAATTGTATAAAATAGCTTTCTTGTTTACTGCTAATATTCACGTATTACCAGTAAGTGATTATTTGCAACATAATGAAAGCTTCCATACCCTTTCAGAGCAATCTGCTTGTTTACATAAAAGCTTTTCTCAGGCCATATTTAAGACAATGCTCCCTGTAACACAAAACCTCCAGGTAGCTAGAAGGAGGGTGCAATGGCTTGTGTGTTGATTTCATAACAATAGACTTGGAGGAGTTAGAAAGACCCATACCCAGGCACCAAGTCAATAGAGACCTGACAAAGGTGTTGGGATATGGAATACACCCAGTCCCCTCTGAGTTGAATAGATACTAGAAAGGGAGAAACTGTACAGCGAGGCTAGGTAGCTCTTTTAGTGGGCACTACCATGAAGAGTAACAGAAATGGGACAGTTGGTGAACAGACAAATAGGATCAAGGAAAGTTCTTTGAGAGCTGAGTATTATATTGTAAGTCATTAATGAAAATAACGCACAAGAAAGATATGTTTATGTGTAGAGAACGTGTATCATCAGAAGACCAGAGAGATAGGTATCGTAGGAAGAGCCAGAGATGGGTGACGTAGGTGGGAGAAAGTCACTTCTGGCCCTGGGCAATTTGGCTACCAGGTAGGCTATGGTCAGGTTAGTGGAGTTCATTTTAAGAGGCTAAGAGAGTTTTAAAATCTAATTATTATCTGCTCTTAAATGTGCAGAGATATCACAGTTGAGCATGAGAAGCAGTGGATGTGTTAGCGATTTGAGAACTGCAAGGCAGCTGTGAATGTTCATCACTGCAGGTGGTAAAGGGAATTGATTAGGAATCTGTAGTCTGCTGTGTCTGTACTGAGCAACTGTTTGAAAACATGACCGTGAATTTGAAGTGAGTCCAAAACACATAATTGTGTTCTTTTCAGTCTGAATACACGGCAGTCCCAGAAAGGGCAGTGGATGGGGCCAACTGGTAGGGAGGCTGTTTTCCTCTGAGAGTTTGAAGGACACAGTGAGGCAGAAGAATGGAATGTCTGTAGGTAGACCAGCAGGCTGGATGATGGAGGCCAAGCCAGATGAAGAGCAAAGTGGCATATAGGAGAAGTGAGGGGGCAAAGTAGTGGCATCAGCATGGAAGATTTTGGATAAATTAATAAATATCTAATACCTAAGTTAGGCCATAACCAGAAAGCAGGACATATTTTTAAGTCATTTTTTCCACTGTCATTATTAATAACAATAGTCTGGTGGGTGGCCATGAGTTTGGGTATCTGGAATAGGGAAGAAAAAAAGAACAGGAAGAAAGGAGGAAGCTGGACTGATCATCGCTTATGTTGATTTATTGCTTTCCTGGAGGTTCAATAGACCATGAAAGACTCCAAGAAACATCCTAGGAAACTCAAAAAAGTAAACTCATTGATGAATTCAAGAACAATATAAATAGTTAGTGCTTGTTAAAATATGCCACACACCTCAAAGCACAGTGATTTGTGAAGGAGGAAGGCAATGTACATTGGATAAGAAAGAAATTTCAAGAAAGGAGTCGCACCCGCTCTCTAGGCTTTGAGATGGAGTGTTTGTGTGTGTGTGTGTGTGTGTGATACTAATTCCACAGCAAGTTCTTCAAGAGAAGAGAAACAAATCCATTAGTGCAAGGATGTGAAGAAACACTGTGGTGGAAGCAGGCTGTGTAAGTGCACATGTGTGTGGAAAATGCAGTGGTGAAACGTTCTCAGATGTGTTTGACTTGGGCTATGGGTTGGAAGTGGAGAAGGGGGCAGGGTGGCTGTGTGAAAGAAGGGAAAAGAAAAAACATGAAACAGGAGAAGATGGAAACAAAGTCTTTGGGGGGGTGGGGGGGTAAAGGGAGGTCAGGGGAATGGGGGAAAATCAGAACCAAGATAAGTCATGTAAAGGTGCAAATTCCCAATGACGAACATAACTGTATTGTACACCTAACAAGTACCAGTAAACTTCATCAAAAAATAAAGAGAAATGCGAAAGAGAAGGAACGCTGAACTGAGTGGAAGGAAAGCAAATGAAAAATCTAGAAGTTGGTACAGCATGCTGAACACCAAAGCAATGGGACCTTTCCCCACTGGTTCCCGTCTAGAAACACATACACCTTCACATGATCTTGCTCCAGTGATAATCCTTCCACCCAGCTGCCTCCAACTGGGTTAGCTCACAAGGTCCTAGCTGTGCTGTGAATTTCTGGCAAGTCTATGACATACGTTGTACACTCTGATGAGAATCAAACTGCCAAGCAGTTTATTCCCTTCAATATTTTATTTACATAATCTCCCAGGCGAGAGGTGAATTCTAAAAAAGTGAAGACTATTTCATACTCCTGTAAATTCTCCCAAGTAATCTGTATAGTGAATTCTACTGTAAAGTTTTTTCATAAATATTTGCTACATTAATTTTATGATTTAAAATAAGCACTAATTACCATATATTTACTAGAAAAGTTTTTACCTATCCAGAGTCGAATGTACTTTTGCACATAAATTAATTGCACAATAACATGATCTTCCACATAGAAGACCCAAAAAGTTCCACCAAAAGACTCCCAGAATTAATAACTAAATTTAGTAGTGTGGCAAGATACAAAGTCAACACACAAAAATCTATAGCATTCCTGTGCACCAGTAATAAACTTACAAGGAAAGAAATTAAGGAAATAATATCCCTCACAACAGCATCAGGAATAATGAAATACTTAGAAATTAACCTAACTGAGGAAATGAAAGACCTTTACAGACTCCAAAATGTCTTGAATGTTTAGTTGAATAAATCAGACATAACAAGCTTAAATAGCATAAGGTTTTTCTTATATGTGAAACTCAAAATACAAATAAAAAGTAAAATAAAGTAGACAAGAGGAAGTCACAAGATAGATCTTTTGCAAATGGGAAGGGGACCAAGAGAGGGTGAGAGGGCAAAAGGAGGGAAGGAAAGGGGACAAAAAAAAAGAGAATTTAGATGTGCTATGTACAGTACCAATCCCCATGAAAAATGTGGTCACTGTATAAGACAAACATATACTAATAAACTATAGAACAATTTTAAAAAATCACTATTAGTACAAAAACCCAAAAAAGTTAATTCTGCAAATCAGCACAATATTGCACTTTGGGGTCAGTGTTTTAATTATAGTTTTTAAAGTATATGTAAATGGCAATCTCCATGAAATCTCTTTGATCAGACTTTGTGGCCAGGTAGCAGATATTCGCTGAATACCTGAGTGGCATGAAGGTAAGTGGACGTCACAGGCCTCTGTAGAGAAGACCATGCTAGATTATACATGTAATTTTGTTCTGCTAGGTTCAAAAGCAAGGAAAGAAAGAGTAAAGGCAATTTGCAAACAGCCTTATCAGTGCACACCACTGATTTAGACTTCCATGGGGACAGAGGTGTGACTGTTTGCATTGTTGATGTCTTCACTGCTGTAGCCTTCAAACTGGATGCCAGCTCTTTCTACTTTCATTTTCACTGCCACTTTCAAATGCTCTGCATAAATCCTCTCATTTCTACTCACAAGTCACACCATTCACATTAACTTACATGCAAGTGCTTTCTACTGTCTGGGCCCAAATGATTCTATTAGTAACTATGATGTGGTTTTTCTAACTGCTCTCACCTGATGACTTCCAGGCAGCAAGCTGAGTTTTGTGCTTAGCTTGGGGTCCTTACTCAGTGAATTTCCATGGCTACAAAAAGCATTAAAGAAGTATTCACAAAGACACATTTAACACTTACATGCATAATTAATAAATGATGCAACAGTTTACCTTTGTAAGTCAATGGGAATATTATATTTAAATAATCTTTAAAGTGGCTCTTAATTGGTTCCTATGGAAGTCATAATAATTTATGTTCTTAAATTAGGATTGGTAGACATATTTATCCTTAGTAATTTGTGATATTAACTTTTCCTCTAAATAGAAACAAGGGATCTTGATGGAGCTCTAAGTTAAAACTGTATCTGTGTCCTTTCATGTTCTCCTTCCATCATTAAGTAAGCAGCTCATCTTGATGACAGCCCTAAATCTATGCAGGGGTGGATCCAGGCCCAGGCCTGGACTGCAGAGCTCACTTGGAAATCTGATTTTGCTTTCTTCTCTGTCCTCCTATCTAGAACTTTAGATGGTCATTTAACACTGATATATTTATAATAAATATATAAAACTTCTTTAAAATTTGGTAAATAAGGCCTGGGCCCTATCCACCGCGGGAAGAAGAGCCACGCCTTCCCCCACTAGGAGCCGCCATCGCTCCAGCACCAGGAATTTAGCCATGCAGGTACCCCTGAACCCCCACAACTCCCGTACATGCCCCCCCATGCACTCTCAGACCTCCTGATTGTGCCAATCTTTGGACCCACTCTGCAGAGGCAGAGGTGGTCATAGAGGGTATTTTTCTGAGTTCCCAACATTGAATATCTTTAAAGAAAGGGCCTGGGAAACCTGTAGTAGAATGATGTGGAGTTCAACCGTTCAGAAGGTTAGGGAACTCAATCTGGGCCTTGCAGCCCAAGGTCAGTCAGCATCATGGGGTTCTGCCATCAGCTAACTGAGATCAGGGGTCTTGCGTCCTAGCTCTGTATGAGCCATTGAATGGTAAATATACTATATTGAAAAGTTTGTTCACTGCAGACATATTCTGGACTGCTTCTTGATTTCAATTTGATTCAAATGGTTTAAGGGTTATAGACTAGTGACTACCACAGGTGGTTAGTTTCTAAGTTATGCTTGATCTTAATGTGTTGCTGATTGTATCCATTGGGATAAAGGATTGTGGCTGATTTGATGAGCTGTTTTCTCTGATGTTAGGAAGATGAGAATGTCTGTGGGTCGTTAGAGACCCAGAAGCTAGGGCGCAACTATATTGGGAAGATTTGGATGATAACCCAGAGATTAAACCAAGGACAGCCCGACAACAAAAGTAAAAATGAGAAAACACTTAAGCAAGACACAAAGACAGACTTCCAGTTCACCAATGGCAAACAGTAGGACAAATGAGGATGAAAAGGCCAATAGTGAACCACCAGGACACCCTGAACTCAAAGCATAGGAAGTAACAAAGCAGATCAATCAGGCTCTAGAAAAATTCAAAACAGAAATAATTTCCCAGATAAC